CCACTCACTGGCTGAGCGAGGTGCGGGCGCAACGCCGAGGGTTGCGATCCTGTTGCCGGTCACGAGAAAAGACAAAAAGGGGAAAAAAAAAAACAAAACAGGAGCGTTTTACTGTTCAGTCCCCATTACTGTTTACTAGGACTCATTTCTAATCTGTGTCTAATCCAAAAAGTGGCCAATACCATTTCTTTCACACAACCAGAGAGGAGGACATTCGTAGTAAACTGTATCCTGACACCCAGGTCAGTGCAGTGTTCTTGACAGTCCCCTGAAAGGTGTTGTCACCGTGCTCTGGTTTCACAAGTGACATTATCTGGCGGCAAGAAGAGAAGCTGGAGACCAAGTACACCAATTAAGTCGCGGCTGGCGGTGGAGTTAGAGAACAAACCGTTTGCTACACTGGGGACAGGCATGTCACCATAGAAATGACAGAGACGCCCCCTGGGACTGAGATGCCGGTGTTCTGAGAGGTGCAGCAGTTCTGTCCGGCTCAGAGCTGGCAGCCTAGGGGACGTGCCTTGCCGCCTGCCGGGCCGGGCCCCCCGGTGGGCTGGGCCGCAGGTCGGGGAGAGGGCGCGGTGTAGCAAGTTCAGGACCTGCCCTTCACCCCTCCCGTCACAGCTCTGGGGACCTAGGGCCAGGCGGCTGGGCCTCAGAAGCCGCTGCGTGTCAGAAGGCAGCAAGTATCCCAAGGCGGGAGACCCTGCGCCCCCCACAGTAAGGCTGCGCGACCCCGGGCAGACCCGGCGGAGCGGCTCTGTCGACCCTCCACCTGCGGAGCGGGNAAAGCCAAAATAGAGTTATCAAGTGGATAGCTGGACCAAGACGGCTTTCTGCCAGAAAAGATAAATAGGGCGTGACTGCTGCATTGGAAACCAGCAGTGTCTAACTACAGTGTGAAAAATAATTAACATTTACCAGGGGACAAAGCAGACACTCCTGAGAGATGTGAGCCTTTATGCAGGGGCCTTGTCTCATCTCTGCTTGTGCCCCCCAACCCAACTGTCACCGTTTGCAAGGTAGAAGCTTAGTCTAAACCTGGCTCTGGCAGTCAGGGTTCTGGCAGGAAACATTCTTGGGAGGGGATTTAGGAGAGAGTATGATAAAGGGACTGTAGTGTGGTCATGGTCAAGGAACCATCAAAGGGTGCTGTTACCCAGGATCCAGCAACCGTGGGAGAAGGATCCCATTGCTAGGCCTCAAGAGGCGCGGCGGGGTGGGGGGAAGATCTGCTGTTCCCACAGCCTGGTGTGAATTGGTGCAGGGGAAAGGGTGCCCGCCCAGAACCGTGGCCACAGAGGGACACTGGCCACCAGGCCAGGAAGGAGAGAGGCCTCTCCTGCCTACAGTCTGCAGCAGGAGCTGCTGTTGTGGAAAATGGAGAACTAGTGAGTTAGCTGACCAAAAACAGGAGCGTTTTGGGGCTGGCCCGGTGGCGCACTGTAGCAGTGTGCCGCTTGGGAAGCGTGGCGGCGCTCCTGCCGAGGGTTCGGATCCCACATACAGA